ACTGCTGGAACACCAATGCTGGAAGTGGAGGTGATGTATAATGTTTTAAGGTGCCTTGCTAGGACGGGTAGAAAGCTGGCCTTATAGAATATTAACATCTCACTTGTTTGCTTGTAAGGATCTGTCCTCAGAGGTAGAAGATGTGCCCCTCTGTGTGGTTGTGTCTGCATAGTTTTGCTTGTCTGACTTGGGCTGTATTGGTGGCTGATGTGGAATCGTGTCACTGTTGGGATTTTGCTGGGAGCCGTTGGAGATGGCTTAACTGGTTGAGGTCTGCTCATCTGAGCTGTAAGAGCATCAGCTCTACAATTCACTTGACTGAACTGGGCGAGGACATCGTGCAAGATGAAATGAAGGTGTTTCTCTGCTTGTGTGCAAAAGTGGGAGTTGGAGCTCTGCAGTGTATTATCTGCTGGCTTTTGTATTCAGTGCGAGTAATAAGGCTTGGATAGCATACATTAGCACTCCAGTAACATAGCATTTGATTGCTGGCAGTTGCTTGACTTGTATGTTTTGGCTAAATCTTCCCATTAAAAGATTTGCAGCGTTTTTGTCTGTTTCCCTTATCAATCAGCAGATGAACTGCGGAGCCAAGCACATCCAGGACTGTTCAGCCAGTCAAAGCTGGCATAATCAAGCTTGTACTTGGAGGTGCGAAAAGCTGTGTTCCGCAAAGACGAGACAGTGACTTGTCTGAAGCTGACCTGTTAATCTCCTGTGCTCTCTGCTATATGATGCATGCAGCCACTTCAGCTTTGGCATACAAGTGTCCCCTCTGTGGGAGAGGGGTTGTTGGAACAATTGTTATTAATTCAAGTGAGTTAAAAGCTTGATGCTTTTTTCTGTTTCAAAAATTTGGGGAAGAACACAGCCAGAATCTGCCAAAGGCAGAAAATAACAGCAAAGGATTTTCTTGGGAGTTTTAAGTAAACCAGATGGGTGAAACTCTAAAAAGGCAGCCTAGCGAGTAGCTGCATACAACCAGGGCAGAGGGGAGAGTTTCATCCTTTGCAGCACATGTCTACAGACTGATGGTCTGTGTAAGGAACAGGTATTGAACAAGAGAAATCTGGTCTGCTCTGTGCCTGTCTCCTCCAAGCCTGCCCTGTTGGAGTGACCATAACAGACTGGGATTCCTTCTGAGCTGGCTTCTGTCAGACCTCCCAAGAGCTGACTCTTCAAACTGGTCTCTTGAATTCACGGGGGGGGGTAATGGTTTAATAGCTATTGCTAGTGCTAACTGTATGCAGCAAGGAAGCAGCCTGGTTCAGAAAGATCCAACTGAGTCTGCAAGACTGCTTCAGCTGGTGACCAGTTTGTCTGTATTGTCCCTCAGCTTAGTGACTGGTCCATACTAGTAGATGGTTCTTATTCTGATGGGCAGCTTCTGGAGATGCCTGGTTTTGGCACCTTTTTTTAGCCTAGAAGTCCTTTGTGCTTCTTTCCAGCCTACCAGGTGCTAAAAGAAAACTTACTACTTTTTTCATTCTAAAGATAAAGCTCCTCGGCTGCCTGCAGTTGTGCTGCCGTTGTGGCTTGGGGAACTGCATCTCTTGGGATTTGCTGTTAAGGGCAGGGGATGTAGCTGGTGTTTTCTCTCGCCCTCTGTGTTCGCTTCCTATTTGAAGCAAGGATTAGCTCTCCACCGAGAGCCTGGCTGGCACTTGGCAGCTGTCCTCCAGGGCTTCGGCTTGGAGAATGCCCGGTGAAATCTGGGGACAAGGAGTTCCTGCAGCATGAAATACTGAGTTATTCTACAGCTTCAAGCTAGTAACAAAAGCTTGAGCTTACTACAGAGGAGGTGCTTGGTCAGAGCAGTGTGCTCCAGCTTGCTTTTATTGCTTGGCTAGAGCTGTAGAGCAGACTGAGTATAAAAATAGCCAGATGGGAGGGTGAATGTATAGCCCAGTGTAGCTTGAGTAACAAACTACTCTGCAGCCAGCTACCTGCTAAAACCTGGATTGCTTTTGCATTAAGTGGAAATACTACAGCAAGGTGTCAAACCCTGCTTAAGATGATAGCCAGGTCACTGCTGTTCATACACTGGCTAATCCAGCCTCTTGCTTAAGCTAAGTAGATCTTAAGCTCTGACTAATCTTCTTTGAAGCGTGAACTTGTGCCGTTATCCTGCAGCAAGCTCCATGCCACTATTTCCAGCTTTCATTGAGTGTAGAGGTCTAGGTTAGCTTAGATCTGGTTGTTATGGATTTTCTGAGCAAATATTTCTCTATTATTTTCACCCTTTACAACTGTAGAACTATGGTCAACGGTGCTTTTTAGACTGGGTGAAACAGTGTGAGGCTGCCCAAACTACACCAGGAATTCTTGTAGCAGCCTAGCAATGACTGCCCACATTGCATACTAGCCAGAAGTAGGAAAGGCTCTTAATACTTTTTTAATGTTTTAATTAATGGATCTCTAAAAGCTCTTAGGGATTAGCTTTCCCTCTTGTTCACTGGCATTCCGGATCCTAGTAAGCTTGTTGGGAAGAGAGATTAACACTTCTTTACTTCTGCTAACCACCTCCTGAATGTCTTGGGCTATTTGAGAACTTAGAGCTAGAAAGCTACAAACGTGTATATACATATGCATAATGTATATGACTGCAAAAGAAGTGCTGTGGCTGTCTTTCAAGTGCGGCTGGAGTTCTGTTTAGGTTTAACCACTGCTAAAACTACTTGTGTAGCTTAAAAAGACTCCTGACCTGTAGAGAAACTGTATTTAGATCCAAACTGTTCTTTTGGTTAAAACCAACCAAAACCTTGATGTTCCAATATGTCTAATCTTAACTGGCCCTTGCTAAAGGGGTGTGAGGTGAGTGTAATTTATATTCATCAGTGTGGCAAGGCACATACATGTCATTAAGCAAGTTAAATTGATAGTGCCTAATATACTCTTAGAGCTTTTTAATTACAGAAGTGCAAAAAGTATTAGCCTGGAAGAATAGCTGAATACTGTCAGGTTTCAACTGTGTTTTTGGCAGGGAGGATAGAGGAGGTAGATGGGTGGCCAGCCATTCCCCAGAGAAAGGAGATGCTAAAAATAAAGTGGAAGGTATCTATGCCGTCTTGCTGGTGAGCAGCTTCTTGGTGGCTTCTGTTTGTCCCTGAGCACCTGGTGTATGTGTGTGGCCTGTGACAGGGAATTATTCCAGCAGCTTGATGTGCTGAGGGCCAGGGCTGCGGGGAGGGTGGCAAAAGTGACTCGGTGTGCCCTGAAGGCTCAACCAGATAATGGAGCCTGCAGTTGTTGACCCTATCCTGTGTCTCTAAGCTGGTAATGCTGATGATCTAGAAATAGCCCTGCAGATCATAAGGGTCTTCAGCTGGAGAAGGTCTTTCTCCTCTGTGTGGAATAGGAGGTAACTCTTACAGTGGGAATACATAGCTGTGTGTGACCAGACCAGATAAGACATAAGCTTTCTGATGTCTTGGTTGAGTTTAGCTGACTGGGCACATATAATAATGCTTTCCAAAAGGAGACAAATGTAGATGAGCAGCAGGACACAGAGGAACTTTGAGTAGCACAAATGTGGTGTTACTGAGATCCCTCTCCTCAAACAGCAGTTGCCTCTTGCACAGCATCACATGGGTGCTGGAGAAGTCATGGAGGAGCGATACACCCTTGTGTAACAAAGTGGTGGTAGGTGGCTTGCTGCTGCACTGTGTGTGCACGAATGCAGGTAATATTTATCTACATGCTATTTGGGTGGGGAAATGAGGAGTGCAGCAAGCTGGAGGACTCACCCTGGTGCCCATGAGCCAGACCGTAGAGGGTGGGGTTTTTTTTGGAAGACAGAGTGGTTCTGACAACCCCAGCTTCTTTCTTTACTGATATTCATTAGTACTGCAGCATGAAGGTAAGAGCAGCTCACTTGTGAAATTGAGAACATACCAGCCAAAGCATGTGAAGCTGTTCATGGTTGGAGGCTTCTTGCAGTAGGGCTTGACTGTGCCACTGACAAGCTGCCTCCTGGAACTGGGAGGAGGACCTTACTAGATCTGCTGTGTGATGGAGGGTTGTTTGCTGTGAGCAAGAGGCTTGTGTGACCAGCTGTCCTGCAAGTGATGAATGCCGCCTTGGATGGGGTGGTCTTCTGCTGTTGAGTGGTGGTGCAGCAAGCCCAGGACTGAGAGGCACTGGACTGCAGGGAGGTGGCTGGGAGCAGGCTGATGCTGCTGTGAAGTCCTCCATCTGTCCAGCAGCCTGAGCTGTGTTACTGGAGGCAACTGCCTGCCAAGAGCAGGCTGTCAGCATCACTGCTGGGCTACTGGTTCAGCTGTCTCCTGGAAACTGTGGAAGCACACAATGATTATACACATGAAACTTTCTGGAAGTGCTTCCATGGTGCAGTGCAGCACAAGCACTGCTAATGCAGCAGCGCTGCTGTCTGGCCTTTCTCTGTGGGGCCAAGGAGCTCATACAGGACATGACACTGATGCAGCCCTGAAGCCTCCTGTTTAGGCACTAGTCCTGTGTTGCACCCTTATGGACCCACCTTGTTCTCTGTGCAAGTTCCTTGGCTTCCTTCCATGTCAATGCACAGAACAGAGCTTGCCATAACAGGCCTGAGACTTCAGTCTGGCCCTGAAAAACATCAGTCCTGGACTTTGCAAAGGACAAACAGGTTGATCCTCGTCATGTGCTTGCAAGTCTGACTGCTGGGTAGAGCATAGCACTCTACCACTGGGGTGGGAGCTTGGCAAGGTCTGTCTTGGGCTTCAGATCAAGATTTGGTTTTTGTCTGGCATGAGACTTCAGGCTGGGTAGGGTAGGAACAGTAAAATAGATGCAAGGATCCATTGCCTGGGATGTGTAGGAGGGATCTGCTCAGAAGTGGGCATAGACTAGCATGCTTGGGACTCGTCACCCAGTTATTTAAGGTCCTGGATCAATAGGTGGTTATGGGTATGTGTAATCTTGGTTCCTTTTTCCCTTTCTAGGTCTTGCACTCTGGACTTGTCAGCCTTGCAGACTTCTGGACACATCTCTTCTCAGCTATGACTAGATCAATAGGATTTAACATCTGCACGGTCACTTGCAGCATCCTGCTCCTGTCCTCCAGTCCACCATGCCTTGCATCTCGGCCACTGGAGGAAAGGGACATGACAAAGGTCCAGCATGCCCCCTGGGCAGGGAATGGGGTAGAAGATGGAAGGACAAGCATGCTGAACTTGGAAAATAACCCGTCCCCTTCTGAGCAGACTGTCTCTGAAGAGCCATGTGGAGTGTCAGCAAAGCCATCTGGGATGCCCCTAAATGAAGCTGTCACTGCAGAAGGAGAAATGCTGCATGTAAGCCTGAGCCATGTCATCCCAGGCAGCCAGGGCCTGGGTGCTCATACCTCTGCTGTGGCAGTGGCTGCTGTAGATGAGGAGGAGCTTGGTCCCACGAAGTCAGAGCTGGATGAAGATGATGCATTCAAGGCCATGCTGACCACAGCTGTGACCACGCTGAACCCTGCTGTCCAGGAGGAGTCTGTTGCTGGCCCTGTTAGCGAGACCACCACAGAGGGTGGTGTTGAAGTAGAGCACAGCTCTGCCAGCTTCTTAGCAAGCCCCCTTCCTGGGACAGCCATGGAGGAGGAGGCAGAGAGCAACTTGCACCCCTCAGCTGTGCCCCAGCCCACACTGTACCCCAGCTCTCCCAGCTGGGAAACAGCAAGCGACCACCATGTCATCCCGACCCCCCAGGCTCATGGCATGACCTCGGAGGTGGGAATGCTGAGAGCCCACACCAGGAGCCCTCTGAAGTCCCTGGCTGCACGAGCATCCATGGCTGCAAAACATCCCCTTGTGGTGACTGAGGCCGCCTTCCACCTGGAAGCAGGGACAGGTGGCAGGCAAAGAGACCTGCCCACCACAGAGAGCACTGTCACCATCCACCCTATGGACACTGTGCCATCTGACTGGGATGACACAAAACTGGGGGACATAAGTCAAAGGGGAAGCATGTCTCATGAGGAGGTGACAGAGGACCTAGGGGCAACAGAACCATCCCAGACCCTGCAGGGAGGTCTGGAGGAGGAAGAGGATGCAACAAGAGTGCTGCCATCCCCAGTGTCCCCTCCACCAACTCCTGGGCTTGCTGAGGAGACCAACTGCACAGTGCCAGTGCAAGGGGAGGAGATGCTGGCAGCTTCCACAAGCAGCAGTGATGATCTCCACACTGTGAACCTGACTGGTGTAGACATGGGTGATCTCAACTCACTGGACAACATAAAAACAGTCACAACAGAGGAAGGGAAGAGCATCCTGCCATCACAGTCAGCGGCTGCTATGGTGACAGATACACGGTCTGATCTTTCTCCTACTCTGGAAAGCTCATGGAAAGGTAAAACTTGCCTGTTAGAGACATTTGCCTCTAAGTGTAGGTTTAGGAGAGATGCTCTTGGGAACCTGTGCTTCCTTTCAGGGAGATGAAGTGGAGAAATGTGTAATCTCAATACCTGCAATAGAGGTAGGACACCCTTTCCCTGCTGGGAAGGCTGTAGACCTTTGTGTAGGGCTAACAGCCTACACAGGTAACTTGCACCCATGAAGTACTGCCTAGCCTTGGCCGTTCCTGTACATGATGTCCCTGTGTAGAGGTAGGCATGGTCTGTCTGGTGGTACCCTGTCCTGAATGTTATATGAAGTAACTGTATTGAGCTGCCTCTTCAGCTCCTCAAGCTGAGGGAGGGTGGCTCTAGTAGCGAACAGGAAAGCTGAGACTGGAAAGGCTGTGACAGCTGAGCCTGGGGAGGGAGGCTGTACGTGGGTATGGGGGTCTCTAGAGAATTGGAGTCTCATCAGCAGAGACTTAGTGCTACTTAAAAAAACTTGCTTCATTGACTTAGAGAAGTTGTGCACATGCAGTGTACTACCAAAGCAGAGGCTTCAGTTTTGGTGTTTGTGCAGTGGTTGAGGGGGACAGCTGTAGTCTGGCTGTAGCTGTCTCACCTCGGCCAGGGATGCAAATCTGCTTTGAGTAGCCCTCTGGTATGACTCTCCAGTGCGCAGGGAGCCCAGCCTCTGACCAGCCGGTTAAGCACTTGGTTTCAAGGAGGATAACAGTCCTCCGGGTGTCCCTCCGGTATGCAAATGCAAGGACCCAGAGGTGGTCCTTGCATTAGCTCACTCTGAAGCCCTGCACAAAACAAAGGGGGGAAATAATTCCTGAGGAATTAAATTAGCATCTGGGATCACTTGGCTCTCAAATGCTAGCTGTAGACATTTGCACTCAGTGCAGAAGATGCAGAAATAATGGATGGCTGGAAAAGCTTCCTAAATCCAGGAATACGCGAGCTGTACCAGTAGCCTGTGCATGACTGATGTCTTCCATGACTTTACACGGACACTCAGATCAAAAGACCTGTCCAGAGCTTTGTGCTGTCCTTTGTAACAAAAGCTCCTGGTGTTGTCTCCTCGCCCTGGAGTGAAGCTGTGGCCAGGCTCTCGCTGTCCAGTGTTTGTGCCAACTCTGTTAGCAGCAGGCAGAAATCTTCCTGCTAGACAGCCTGCCACGGGCTGGCGGTGTCACCCTGTGCTGTGCTTACCTGCGGACGTGGCACCTGCAGCCTAATGGCAGTGTTTCTACTCGGTGTTTAAAGTATAGGGGGAATGCTAAAAAAAGTCTGTTTGGGTGTTGGGTGGTGATGAGGAACATGAGCTGGGGTTTAGGACTTTGTTTTAATTGCTGAGCATCTTTCATCTTCCCTCTGGTTACAGAGGCAAAAGGAAAACTTCCCCTCACTGCATCCAAAGGATCTAGCTTTTGCCATAAAATAAGAAAAGCTTATTCCATGCTGGTGCTGAAACCTGACTGATTAGTTTCTAGATTAATTTATAAGCACTTGACTTGTCAACAGGTTCCCTCTCAGCTGTTTCCCAGATGTTGGGAAAACAACACTATCAATAAGACTTGTGCAACAAAAATAAACCCTTCTACAAAGCTGAAGCCCTGTAGCCATGGCAGCTGGTCACTAAAAGCACTGCTCTGGCAGCCTCGCTTGCTTTGAATGGTATTTAGCACCATGGGCCTGCAGTGCTGTGCTCCCATGGCGTTGCTTCCTGGTGCATCCATGTGTCCCTAAAGGGGTAATTAAGAAAATGAGGACTGATTCTGCTGCTTTGATTCCTGTTACGCATGTTCTCCATCTGTCTTTATGCTGCCCTGATGATACTTGGCTGGCCCTGCTGCTTGCACTGTGTCTCTAGAAATGTGAATGCATGGAGTTATATTCCTTCAAAGCTCTGCTTGGTTGCTGTCAGCTGTCCTGTGAGTTGGTACCGACAAGTGTTCTTGCTGTAGGTGTTACTCAGGAGGTGACAACAGTTGCCCAGGAGGCTGATACTGCTTTGTCAGTTGTGACACTGGTGCCTGGTGCTACCCAGAGATCAGGAGCTGCAAGTCTTCTGCAGGAGAACGGCAGGGAGGACACCCAGATGCCAACTGCTCCTAGTGCTACCCAGCTGCTGGTGGCAACGGGCACTTCTTCCACAGTGGACACTCCAGATGTAGAAGGTAGGGTTCTGCTTCAAGCTCTGCAGGCTTATCCACACAAGATGAGATGTTACATCTGAAACCTGAATCAATGCTTGGACACTGAAGTCTCAGGATACACCATCCATATTCTAAGTTACTTTTTTCTAGCAGGCTGCCTCTAGCTGCTCTCTGCCCATGCTACAGATCCGCTATGTTAAAATATGCCAACATATGGCGCTTGCTCCGAATAACAGTGGAGACTTAAAAAAACCAAACCACCCCAAAACAAACGAAACCCTCACATCCATCTGTGTTAGCAAGTTGACTTTTAGACTTAGACATTTAAGCCAGTTTCTCTTTCTGGAGGGGAGAGCTCTACTACCGGAGCCAAAGGCGGTCATGCATTGCTGATGCTCAGTGCGAAGGACCAAAAAGTTTCATTGGGGTAAGATGGGAGCAGTGTAAAGTTGGGGGGGCAGGGGTGACCCTCTTGCAAGAGTCTGGCAATCGCTTGGGTGCGGAAGCCTGTGTTCATATTCACTTCCTTTGAGGAACAGCGAGTTCTTGCTGCTTGGGTTGATGTAGCTCATACAGAAATGCTTTAAGCAGTCCTGTTCATCCAGCTGCTGCCTACTAGCTCAATGTCACCTTGGTTGTTGCCTTGACAGGAGTGTAGCAAGGGTTCCCTTAGCACAAAGCTGACTTTGAGCTTAAGTGTATTTCTGTAGTAGTAGGTACCACTAATGCAACTGCTGCTGGGCAGCCTTTCTGGTAATTCTTATATTGTAGGGCATACAATGCAAATAGGTTTTTTCTTTTTATCTCTTAAATTAAGGTCCCTTTGTAGGGGAGAGAAGGTTCTTCTGGCAGTTTCCACATATTAATTTGCTTCTGGGACTTAATTAGAAATTTAATTTTTTTCTTTGCAATAAACAATTAGATCTGTTACTTGGTTCAGATTTCGTTCAGTGTCTCAGTGCTCTGATCTTGCTATGGGGTGGTGACTAGTCCTCAAAGCAATGGAAGTAAAACCTAGTTGAGTCCCCCTTAAGGGGAACCTCCTGTGCTGGCTGTCCTGGAGGAGAAACTTTCGTTACAGTAGAGTCACTTGTACATCTTGAAAGAGGCAAGAGTTTAGTACCTTCTTCCACTCTAAGTTAAGTTTTTAAGGAGTTTGTTCTTAAATGGTGGGGTTTTTAATACTGTACCAAACTGCTGCTGCTTCCTGTCTTCTGTAGATTTCACAGATGTGGTCCTGGTCGCCAGTGAGAAGGCTGTCCCAGCTCCTGGTGGCTTGTCTGCTACCCAGTCTGGACAGACAGAGGAGCCATCCAGCAGAACTGTGGGCCTGGTAACTCCAGCATCAATGGCATCTTCAGTCAGGAGGACAGCTCTTCCATCTGTGAGGAAGATTGGTACGGCTGTGACCTATGGGCTGGACCGTCTGGAGTCAGAAGGTACCACAGATCCCAAGGCTAAGAGGCGGGCAGTTTCATGTGGAGTGGCACGCTTGCCTTGACACTGAGCTCCCCAATTTGTCTGTTCGGCATGCAGCTATGTGCATATGTTGTTGCTAATAAAGTTGTTGAATAACCTGTCACCTTCCAGGAGGTACAGGAAGCAAGCAGTCAACGGTGTCATGGAGGATGCCTGAAATTCAAGTGGCTGTGGTGAGAGGGATGGGATTTTCCCTTGGAGAGGGAGCAGCAGTGGTATTGCTGTTGTGGTGGAGTCTGGCTCTGTGCACCTGGAACTGCTGGGGTGTGTCCATTGCAGAGCCTCTGCACCAGGTACTACTCATGGGGAACATGTTCAGACAGCTGGAGAGCCCATGCCACTCTACTGCTGAAGTCCTCACACCAAGCAATGCAAGGTGATATTCAACATGAGATAGCTACCTTAGTGTCTACCTGGCTGAAACCTTGCCAGGAGAAATGATGCCCTACTTATACTCCCTGTGTGACACTGGGAGAGGTGAAGGATGTGTCCCCTCTGAGATACTCTTCCAACTCTTAAGCTACCTGCCAAGCTGTTGTCCCATCACTGTCTCCTCCAGTCTTGTCTTACTCCTGGGCTTCCTTCTCAAACTGCTTTTGCCCACTGCCAGTCTTGGAGTCTCTGCTCCCTGACCATCTCCAGACAGTTGAAACCCAGTGATGCAAATTCTGCCTGGGCAAATACCCATCAAGAGAGGTTTAGCTGAAGATCCTACTCTGGAGTTGGTCTGAAGCTCAGATGTGTTGTCTCTTCAGCTCATCCATGATTTTTCTGCAAAGAATTGTTTCACTTCTGCTTCTTGCTCTCCGACTTAAACTCTTCTCTGCTTGCTCATCCACCCAGTTTTGCACTCCAGTGTCTGGACTGACACCACCTGGCAGGGATTAATCTTTATGTCTGTTTTTGCTCCCCTTCCTTTATCTTGACCTTCTCTTGCCTTCGTACTTTACTGCAAAGGTTGGCAGCCCTCCAGGGGTGGCATGCCAGATGGTACTTCTCTTCTGATCAGATGTGGAGTGCCATAGACAACAGCTAATCAGCATCTTTTCTCTGCACGAAGTGATAACTCTCCCTCTTAAGTTTAGAAGGCAGCAGAAGCTGGGAGCCCTCCCCACTGCACGTGTGAGGTGCTGCAGCTCTGTCAGGCTTGCTGCTCGCTTTGAAGCTTGCCACGAGCTCTGTGGGCTTCAAGCTACAGCACTCACCCCTTGCCAGGATGGGTCTTGCACACATCTGCCAAGGCAAGGAGGTGGTGCTGATGATGGGAGAGTAGCAGCAGGGGAAGAAGGGCATGTGTGGGGGGAACCCTGATCTTTCAGGCTGGGAAATGAGGTCTCTGCTTAGCAAGAGCAGTATGATTCAGGAGGCTAAACTGTTTCTGAGCCCTCTGGGATGTCCTTTAGTAGCCTGGCTTTCTGCACAGGAAGATAAGAGGGATTTCTGTTTCAACTGAGCAATGGTCTCTCCCTATTTAATGAGACTGTCTGCATAGACATTTAAAAACCACATCTTTCTGCTCTGACGTAGGACTGCTGCAACTTTCTTGGGTTCCTACTGAGCTCTTTTATGCAACCACAGGCCTGTCTGCTCTTGAATATGCTCTGAGCTCCTCTAAGGGCGAGTGTGGGCTGTAGCTAGAACCAGCTTTCCTAAATGATGATGACTTGACTAGGAGGCTGTGGGTTTCTTGGCTCTGGGGCATGGCTCTGCAGGTGCCCAGCAGCCAAAGGACATGGTGCTCTCTGGTGTGTCTTGTGGTTTTGACAACTGGCATGGCTTTTGTGGTCTAAATCTCTTCTGATCAACTTAGACCAGAATTTTCCCTGGTGTTAGGGATCACCAATCCACATCTTATAAAATGGCACAAATACCACCTGGGGATCGGCTTTGTGCCTGGGGATGCTACTGCCCCAATTAAGCACAAAAGAAGCTTTTTCTAATATATTTTTCTCCTCTGTGTAATGGCAATTAGGGGGTACCACATCGTGATGGTGAAGTGGCATTTGGAAGTTTGGTTTCTGTTCCCCCAAAATTACAGTTGCTAGTGCTTAATCTCGGAATATCTAGATGCTGCCAGATACAAGCTATTTGGGAGCGTTTTCCTACAAAGCTATGCTGAGCTCCAGCCTGGGGTGCTCAAGCGCTTGGGGGATGCGAGGTCAGACATCACTGCTGGTGCAGGCATGTGCTTGGGTCCCTAATGAGGGATCTTGACCCTCTGTGGGGAGGCTGTGCCTTGCTCACCGCTGGAAGAAGTGCAGGGAGCCGAGTGAGTTTGGCTGGCCTCCACTGCCTTCAGCGGGGTCTTGCTGACTCGCCTCGCTGAGGGCCTGGCTCATTAAATATAAACCCCTGCTGTTCGGCTAGCTCTGTTTCTTGGGGGCCATCTGTGCCAAACTGCCTGCAGTTAACTGCATCAGTATATTTACCTACCTGGCTTGGATGAACAACTGTTTTAAAAATCAAATTGCACAGACAAACATGAGGTGCTTTGACTATGTCTCTAGATGAGCTTCTCCTCTGCAGTGGACTCTGGAGAGGTTAGCTGGGTAATGAATATCTCCTACCTTGACTCTGAGACTGGTTCTACTTGCCCTGCCTAGCCAGAGAAATCCTATAAAGGGATTATAGGACATGGCGACAGGACACAGCAAAGGATGAGGCTTACTTGTCTGGGAGACTTAATTACATACTTTGTTCCTGTGCCCAGACTTTGTATGTCTCTAGCAAGCTGAACACTGTGGCTTTCCCTAGGGGGCTTCCAGGGTCCAAAGAGATATAATCTAGTTAAACTTGCCTACTTGGGACCCCTGTGTAAGCCTCCTAGCACATCTTGAAAAGAGGTTCTTGAAAGCAACCACATTCCTGTTTGGACTAGATTCCTTTGTAATGTCTGCCATGGTAGGTGTTGGCAGAGACGGCTGCACGCCTTAAGCGTGGCAGTGTTTGGCAGATAGAACTTTCCCAAGAGGCCGGTAGCCTGCCGTGTTGCTTCTGCAAGATCCTTGCAGTTTTTAGTTGAAACGTGGTGGACAGAGTACAACAGCAGCTGGCTCCCCTCGGCTGCCCCTCAAGTAGCTCCTGTCATTGTCCCATACGGGATGTGATGCAGGGATGCACTAAGGTGAAGCAGAAGGTTGCTGACTACACTTCCTGTGAGGACCTTGAAGGTCATGTCATCCTTGCTTGCTAACCCTAAACCAGCAGTTAGTACAGAACTAGCCTGCTGCCAAGAGTGGTGCCTTGCCCATCACAGCCTGGGTCACAGGCCAGTTCAGTGTGAACAGCTTGCAGCACCGTTGCTGGTGGCTGTTGGTGAGGTCTCTATCTGCCAATGTAGACTCCAGGCTTGGTTTCTCTTGTGTGCCACCACACTGCCCAGACAGCAAGAAGTCAGCTGAAATGGCTGGAGATGGTGATTGTGGAGCAAGGCATGTGGGACAGAGAATGGGAAGATGTCTCAGCGTTCATCAAACCATGCTAAGATTAACCTCCTCTGACACGCAGGGCAGATATCACTGTTGCCTTCCAAGGCTGCCCAGATGCAGCAGTAATAGCTGCCTCTTCAAGTCCCTGTGTTTCAACCCACAATTCCATAGAAGTCCTTCAGCTGTTAGACCCCCACATACTCCCCTTGCTGCATCCAAGCTTGTTAGGAAAACAGTTTAAGGTCAATGCTACCCTTCCCTGCAGCTCAGTAAGCTCCAGTTTGGCCCACTTAGCATTAAATTGGGATTAGAGACTCTGTACTTGTGGTTTTGAGATGGGGAGAGGAACAAATATTCTGACCCTTGCTGCTCCCCCATAGGTGTTTTGAAGAGACTAAGAAGTGTTATGCATTGGTGTTTCTTTTTTTTTGTGTACCCCTTAACCTCCTCAAATCCAAAACTACTCTGCAACAGCGTATAAGCCCGAAGGCTGGTTCCTGCTTGGTCGGAACCTGCTTACATGGTTCAGCTTTCATGTAGGCTGCTGGATGCTGGAGAGTGCTTAGGGATCTATAAGAGCAGGAGATGCTCTACCTGCTGTATGGTGTCAGGAACAGTCAATAGCTCTGAAAATGGGCAACTGAAACTCAGCTGCTCTAGAGGGAGGTCTTGACCATGTAGCTCTTGAATGTGAAGTGTTCCTGATTAATCAGGCTGGCTCTCAACATGAGCTGGCATCCTGGTCATTAGGGTGGAGGAGTAACCCAGGGGTTAGAAGGGCAGTGTTAGATGTCTGCTCCCTGGGACAGCACAGTGCTGTTCCCAGTGCCCTGCTTGGTTAGCTGGCATGTCCCTGCCTAATGCAGGACTGGGATGTGGAGAAGCCCCTCAATGATGCTGGAACAGGGCGAGCACTGTCCTTGGGATCCGTAAATCCAATGTCCTGCAGTCACGAGGCACCTCATCGCTGAACCTTGGCTGTGGACTTCACCGTGTTTGCTTTATCTGTGGTGTTGAAGGCTTTTCCAGAACAGTGCCAGTATGAAGCTTTAGACCTTCTGACCTTAACATATTCATGATATTTTAACAATATCCACTTGTCTTTGGGTTTAAGCAGTTCCTGTTGCCTTTTGCCAACCTACAAACTCAAGTTTACCCTTCTAAGGAAATCATAGCTTAACTAATTTCAGTAAGAAGAGCTCTTCTATTCCTGTTCTCCATTCTCTGCTTCTTCCCCAGCATCTTGTTCTTCTTGTACACAGTCATCTAAGCTGTGTGTCTTACTTCAGAAGTGACGGTCTCTTTTCAGAAAATACATCAGAACTTGTAGGCTTTTACATAACTTTATGAAAGACCCTTCAAGTTCTCCTTACATTTTTCTTCTAGGCTGTGTCATGGTACAAGGAGCCTTCTTTTTTCAGATGTAAAGAGTATTTTTTTCTGGAAATCAAGGCTCTAGCTGGGATTACTATTTGGACCCTGACTGTATGGATTAAGACTTGCCTTAGTAAATCTCTGCAACACCATTAAAAATTTAAATGACGTTGCAGAGGTGTAAATAAGACAGGCACTTAACCCTGCAGGGTTAACTAGCCTGATACCCTGCAGAGCTGGTGAGGAATTTTAGTATCAGCTAAATGTGCAAGGAACAGAAGATTTAAAACAAAGCACATGAAAATAATTAATTAAAAGTGTGTACTGAGAACACTTAATGTCTTGCTTCTAGTTTATTGCTACCACTGTTTGGTGCAGGTTCTCCATATTCTTCACAGTGGATGGTAGTTCATCCCTGATTCTCTTCCTTTGTAGCAGAAAACTGTTTAAAAAAAAAAGTGTGAAAATTTTGCATCAAAACCAAGATTTTTTTTTTTTCTTTTCCTGAAAGTGTTTCATAAGCCAACATGTCTGCTGCTGAATCTGGTGGTGACTTGTTTGGCTCATGAAATCTATTTGAATTGAGGAGGGAGGGGTGTGGAGGGTGATCAAGCCTTTAATGAGTTGGGAGCTTGTGGGTGAACAGCTAAGCTGGTGTTAGGCTAATTAAAGGCTCACTAAGATGAGGAGCGAGGAAACTCCCGCTGCGTGCGGCCAGCGTGCTGAGCTCAGCCTTGTCCGCGCGTCCCTGCGAAGGGAGGCAGAACGTGGTCTGGCCACCCTGCTCCGCCGTGGGTGCACGGGCAGCTCTAACAAAACCCAAACCACACACTTGTGCAAGTGGCTGACTGTGCTGAACAATGCGCTTGGGGGCTTTATGATCTCCAACAGCAGCTCCTGCAAGAATCTCTAGGAAGGGTTTAAAGCATCACTGCATTGGCTTTCCCAGGTGTCTGGGAAGTGGCAGGTGCCTGCCCAGCTGCCTTCTGGGCAGAGGTGAGCTGCACAGCTGTTTTAGTCTTGGTTTTTGGGGGGGAAGGAAACTTCTCTAGGTAGAATCATAGAATGGTTTGGGCTGGAAGGGACCTTTAAAGGCCATCTAGTCCAACCCCCCTGCAATGAGCAGGGACATCTTCAACTAGATCAGGTTGCTCAGAGCCCCGTCCAACCTGATCCAAACCTGGGATGTTTCCAGGGATGGGGCATCTACCACCTCTCTGGGCAACCTGGGCCAAGGTTTTACCAACCTTGTGCTTTGTGATATTCTGGCACTGTTCTGCCTCCAGCGGGTTAGCTGATATTTCTTGGTCTGACCTACTCTGGTTGCTGTTCCGGTCTGTGCTTGAATGTTTAACTGCATCTGACTTCTCATTTGTCCAAAAAATTAGAGGTCACTTAAATATTACTTTAGTGTTGTAGCTTTCCCACACTTACCTTCAGGCTCAAACAAAACCAACACAAGCCCCCTACGGTTGCCATGGAAAGGTAATTGGACTGTGCGGGTGAAAATTTTTAATAAGTTTTTGTTTCTTTTAGTCTAGGGATTAAGCAGTTCGCCCTCACAGCTCTAGGGAGGTGGATTCAGATAAGCAGGCATATGGCAGTTTCTTCTGAAGGCTCTGCAAGGAGCATTTTTGTCTGGAGCTTCTGATGGCTGGGGTCCACATGGGGGACAGTGTTGCTCACAGAGCTTCTCTGGGGAGCTTTGGGCATTGGGACTGGGGCAAACCACCCTGCAAATTGGTTTAGTTCTTTAATTTCTGCTTCCTGCCCTGTGCAGGTGGGATGCTGTCCCCCTTGTCTATCTGACACAGGATGCAGTGACTACAGCACTGGCTTTTTACCTCATCTTCTGCGAAGAATCACAGTTTTTCTCTTTTTTTTTTTTTAAATAACAAGCTTTTTTAAAATAACAAGTCTTTAAATGTGGGGGGAGGTCTTGTGGTGTGTTTCATCCTGGCTGACATCAACACTTCAGGCCACATGGGTGCAAGGACAGGGCAGCAGTGTTGTTCTGAACCTCTTCATGAAAATACCCTGGGGAGAAGCACTGCCCTTGATAAAGGACAGCGAAGGCTTCAGAAGGGTGGTCAAGGACTCGGAAAGAAGCACAAGCTCTGACTAGAAGTGTGCTGAGTGGGCTTGCGGTCATCGTCCTTTCTGGCACCTGATAGGACTTGAGCTAAAACGTCGGTGCCCTGGAGACTGTTGCCCGTAATAATGGATCCACTCCCTAATCTATGTCATCTGTAATGTGATCCATGCTGGGTTTGTCTAGAAAATGAAGCTTAAATCAAATGTTTTCTTAACTCTTAGGCTGTTAGTCGTTCCTTTCCCAGGCAGTGTGGTTGAATTCAGTACTTCTGAAGACACACCATCAAACAGCTTTTTGCAAGAGAAAATGGAATTAACATCTCTGCCGGGGCTTATTTTTTTGTGATTGGAAAAAAGTACCATGCCCCCAGCGCTTTTCATGTGAAAGCATTTTGTTGAGAGAAGTAAACTCTGTATCTGCCTTCATCCGTCTTGTTCTGCCCTGTCCACTTGCAGGCCATGGTCATTAAATCTGGACTGATTTGAATGCCCTCACTTGATAAATGACCTCTTGTCTTGATTTTTACACTGGTTAGTTCAGCAACTGCATGCCTCAGGTTCTGCAGCAAATGAGGGAGCAAACTTATTATAGTCCATACTGTGTGTTCTGCAGTGTTTTGCTTTTTTCCCTTTAAAATAGCCTTGTGTTGCTAAACCTACTCTCTAGCCTGGCTCAGCGTGAAAGCAATTTTGTGGCGGATGCTGCTGGAAATGCAGCTTTTGGGAATGATTGTTTGTGGTCTTCATGCAGAAGCAGGCCTGTGGTCCCTGCTGGAATATATCCCCCACCCTCTTTTTTCCTTTTTTTTTTTCCCCAAAAGCTCTTCGGTGCCTCAGATCCCCTGTGACAAGCCATGGGCCAGGACCAAAAAAGCAAGTGTGAATCCCCTCAGATTTGGCAGGGGGAAGTAGGTTAGGACCAGAATCCAACTCTCTCCTTGTACTGCCTTTGCAATGTCAACGAGTCCTCCACGGGGAAGTGGCTTCTGCAGCGCTTGGGCTCTGGCCAGCAGAGGCTCCTGAAGAAGCATCGGCTCAGCCCTGCTACCCGGGGTCTCTTCCCTTTCCTAGATGGGGCA